ATTCGCCTGTAGTTCCGGCTACTTGGAAGGCTGAGGCGGAAGGATTGCCGGAGCCCAGCAGATCGAGGCTGTGGTGGCCGGGAGCGGCCACTGCACTCCAGTCTGGGCGACAGGCAACTCAAAAAAAAAAAAAAAAAAAAAAATGTGTGTATATATATATATATATATATATATATATATATAGTCATTATTTTTTATTTTAGTCTTCCTAATAAGTGTGTAGCAGTATCTCATTGTGTTTTTAGTTTCCATTTCTCATATGGTTAATGATGTTGACCATCTTTTCTTGTGCTTATTTGCCATGTGAATATCCTTTTGTCTCTTCATGTCTTTTGCTCATTTTCTAGTTGGATTTTTTGGGTTTTTTTTACTGTTAAGTTTTGGGAGTTGTTTTTCTACATGCTAGTCCCTTGTCAAATATGTGGTCTGCAAATATTTTTTCCCCATCTATAGCTTTTCTTTTTATCCCCCTTAACAAAATTGTTCCCAGAGCAAATGTTTTTAATTTTGATAAAATCCAGTTTTTTTCTTTTATGGTCAATGTTTTTGGTGTCTAAGAATTCTTTGATTGGTCTCAGATCCTGAAGATTTTCTTCTTTTTTTTTTTATTTTTAAGCTTTATAGTTTTGTATTTATAGTCATGATAGTTAATTTTTGTATGTGAGATTTGTGTCGAGGTTTATTTATTATTTTTTGCGTACAGATGTCTAGTTGTCCAGCACCATTTGTTGAAAAGGCTCTTTCCTCATTACATTGCCTGTGCACCTTTTCAGAAAGCAGTTGCACATGTTTGTGGGGGTCTGTTTCTGGGTTCTCTGTTTCGTTCCACTAATCTGTGTGTCCATCCCTCTACCAGTACCACAAAAGCTTAATAGTAAGTCTTGAAATTGGGAAGTTCCACTTTATTTTTTTTTCAAAATCGCTTTAGCTGTTCCACTTTCTTTGCTTTTCCATGTAAATTTTAGAATACTCTTGTCTAAATCTGTAAGTGATTTTGCTGGGATTTTAAATAAGAATTGTGTTAAACCTGTATATTAATTTGGGGAGAATTGACATCTATACTGTGTTGAATCTTCCATAAACATGGTATAGCTCTCCATTTATTTAGATCTTTTTTGTTTCTTTCATCATTTTCAGAGTTTTCAGCATACAAGTCTTATACATGTTTTGTAATATTTGCACGCATTTCTTTTTTTTTTTGCATTGTTGGTTGTTTGTGATTACTCAGTGCTTATTTCTGATGCCTGCTTACTCTTAGGTCCCCAGAGGACTCTCGGCACTAATTCTGTGACTCTCAGTTCTGTTTCCTCCAAGTTCTTTTCTTATTTTATTTAGTTCTTGCAGTGGTTAAGAATTTGTAAGAATGAGTCCCAAAGTTCATTTGAATTCATTTCTCTGTTTTTTTCTCTTCCTCTTAACAGTGGTATTTATCCCTGGGAATTGGGAGGGGATCTGGCAACCTAGGACTCACTGAGCAGATCTTTTGCCTTGAAGAGCATCTCTCTAAATGTTAGATTCCATTGTCTTTGTTCCAGGAATGGTGGTTCCTTCCAAGACCAAAATTGTGTGCCATTTTTCTACTCTCGTGTTGACTTGTGGGCAGCCACACACCCTTCAAATAGTGCCCCGAGATGAGTATGATAATCCTACCAATAATTCCACGTCCTTGAGAGATGAGCATAATTATACCCTGTCCATTCATGAGGTAAGTAGCCTCTCTCTTTCTCTGTGTGCTGGAGAGAGCAGCCTCCTCTTTCTCTCCTTCTCTTCCAATTCACTTCCATCTCTTATCTCCTTTTCCCTGACTTCTGTGCTGTTTCTTCATCTGACAATACCTGTCTCATTAGTAGTTGAGAACCTCAGATTAGATCATGTAGATAGGAAAGCTCTTTGTAAAGAGTAAATTGCCTTGTAAACAGTGAAAATATTACATGTTAAGTGATACTTTGTTTCTTCCCTCAGCTGGGCCCTCAAGAAGAAGAGAGTACTGGGGTGTCGTTTGAGAAGTCAGTGACATCCAATAGGCAGACTTGCCAGGTGTTCTTACGACTCACCCTGCATTCTCGAGGCTGCTTCCATGCCTGCATTTCATACCAAAATCAGCCAATCAATAATGGCGAATTTGACATTATTGTCCTAAGCGGTGAGTTGAAAGAAAAGGTGTGATTTAGTCGTGCTCCTTGGCTACTTCTTTGCATGTCTGCACTCTTGTCCAACCTCACGGACATTTGACATTTGAGTCATATTTGGCTTGGTTTCTTGTGTACTAAAGGATTAGTGACAGGTAATTCTCCCCGACTCCTACTTTAAATCTTATTTCTTACTGTACTTTAGAGAATGAGAAGAATATTGTCGAACGCAACGTATCCACTTCGGGTGTGAGCATTTACTTTGAGGCTTATCTCTATAATGCTACCAACTGTGCCAGCACCCCGTGGCACCTTCCACCTATGCACATGAGCTCCTCCCAGCGCCGGCCCTCCACTGCTATCGAGGATGAAGATGAAGACTCGCCCTCTGAGTGCCACACTCCTGAGAAGGTGAAGAAACCGAAGAAGGTGTACTGCTATGTGTCACCAAAGGTTAGAGCTCCCATTCTTGCCTTAAAACCCCCTTTCTTGAGCCTGTGTGTAATTGGTATTTGATAGCAGAAACCACAGAGTCTGAGTATCTGGGCAAGGTTGCTGACTTGTATCAAAGGCTACTTTTAACCACTACGAATTTCTTGCTCGTATAAAAATCATTGTTGGCTCCTGATGCTGTACTGAAGCAATTTGATCTGTCATTCTGTGGTATTCATGAAACTATAACAAGCAAATATCACTATCAGGCTACAAAGTTGGAGTAAAGAAATTTTGGCAGAGAAGTGAAGGTGAACTTCCCGAGCCCCTGAGAGAAGAGGCACTTTGTGTTAAAGTTTCTTTTTAAAATTTGTATTTTCTTATTCAGTTAGTCCTCATAAAAAATAAGACTCTGTGATACTCCCCATTACATTTCTATAGTCTCATACCCAAACTGAGTTATAATTCTGTTTTACTTCAGAACACTTTGTTATGTACCATTCTTCTTTTAAAATTCAGCTTATTCTGTGTGGACTGATGGTACTGAGGGAGTGGGTAGGGGGAGTGAGTGAAAAGGGGTGACTGATCATACTGAAGCTGCTGATGGTTTCGTTATGCTGCTTTCTCTTTTGTATAAAGTGTGCAATTTTTTCTTTTTCTTTTTCTTTTTTGAGTGGAGGTCTCACTCTGTTGCCCAGGCTGCAGTTCAGTGGCATGATCATGTCTCACTGCAACCTCTACCTCCTGGACTCAAGGGAACCTTCCACCTTAACTTCCTGAGTAGCTGGGACTAAGGTGTGCCAGCATACCTGGCTAATTTTTTTCTTTTGTTTTTTTGTAGAGATGTGATCTCTCTGTGTTGCCCAGGCTAGTCTTAAACTCCTGGTTCAAGTGATCCTTCTGTCTGGGCCTTCCAGAATGCTGAGATTACAGGCATGTGCCACTGTCCCTAGCCAAAATTCTCTCTCTCTCTTTTTTTGAGTTGGAGTCTCATTCTGTCACCCAGGCTAGAGTGCAGTCACACAATCATGACTACCACAGTCTTGACCTTGCTGGGCCTAGGCAAACCTTCCTCCTCAGTCTTCCAAGTAGCTGGAACTACAGGTGCGTGCCACAACACCCAGCTTATTTTTCTTGGTTTTTGTAGAGACAAGGTCTCGCTATGTTGCCTAAGCTGGTCTCGAACCCCTGGACTCAGGCAATCCTCTTGCCTCCCAAATTGCTGGGATTATAGGTGTTAGCCACTGTGCCTGGCCCAATGAAAAGTTTTTAAAATAAATACATTTAAAAAAAAATGATTTGTACATTCAGATAAAAAGATTTTCTTCTAGATTAAAAAAATACTGCATTCTTGTCCTCTTTTGTAAATGGCCTAAGGAGCCCCTTCTTTATTCTTATATGAGATATTCTGTTAACTTTTATGTGAGATGAACCCTCCCGTCCTGCGCCCCCGCCCCCCACCAACTGCCTTCCATCCTACCTTTCATCTTCCTACCTCCCCTCCCTGGCGCAGCCTTGGTACTGTTAAAACACAGATGACGCAGTGGGTGTGGACTCAGGTGTTCTCTGTCCAGGGACTTGGAGGAAGTCATTCTGAACAGTATTGGGCTAAACCGAAAGAGATTTTGATTGTTTCTAGATGAAATGTTCTCTATTCATAAAGTGAAAGCCTGATCTCAGATATTTAGAAATTGTAGCAAAACTTGAGTTACAATTATGAAGTGTCTCTGTGTGAAACTGCATTGTTAGAATAATATTTTTAATTTGCCTTTTTAAAGATAGAGTTGATATGTTTATTTGATTTTAGTACTAAGTTATCCTTTTGTGTAATGGAAGGAAAAGGTTATCATGAGAAATGTAGAGACTGTGGCATTTGAATTGCAGTACCTACCAGAGCCTTTTTCTTTTTCATTCACTTCATTTTCTGTGTCGGTCCTATAGCAATTCTCAGTGAAGGAGTTCTACCTGAAAATCATCCCCTGGCGTCTCTACACCTTCCGAGTGTGCCCGGGAACAAAAGTAAGCTGTACCATGTGTCTGGTTCATGCTGAGCAGGCCTCAGTTCTGGAATGTGTCAGCCTTGTCTTTTTTCCCAGAAGGGCTTTTGGTATTTCTGGAAGTTCTCACTGTGCACACAGGATTCATTGCCAAATAAAGAAAGGGTTGTTATCTCCTCACTAAATGGCATAAACAGTGTATACATTCTAGAAGGGTGCATATCTACAGACACAGGAATTAATAGCTCCTCAGAATGCCTCAACAGTCATCCTTGCCTGCAAACCGGGTTAATAGAGAGGACATTGGCAATTCTGGCCCAAGTTCAGTCTCCCAGTGTGTGAAGCTGATTCTTTTAGAAGCGGCATTCTCATATATTTTTCAAAATTTGTTTATTTAACTTTTCTGGGCTTTTGGAATCTAAACTTTTGCCAAAGGTTTGAATATGTCATTTTATAAAAATCATTTTCTGGCTAGGCTCGGTTGCTCAGCCTGTAATCCCAGCACTTTGGGAGGCCGAGGTGAGCGGATTGCCTGAGCCCGTGGGTTCGAGACCCACATGGGCAACTTGGCGAGACCTCATCTCTACAATAAATCAAAAATTAGCCGAGCATGGTAGCGCATGCCTGTAGTTCTAGCTACTTGGAAGGCTGAGGCAGAAGGATCGTCAGAGCCCAGCAGGTCGAGGCTGCAGTGGCCGGGAGCGGCCTCTGCACTCCAGTCTGAGTGACAGAGTGAGACTCCAACTCAAAAAAAAAAAAATCATTTTCCTTCAGCCAGTTTGGAGGATTCATTTCTTGCTATTTTATACATTCATACAACAGTCACCCTTCTTACATTTTATAAGAAGGTCTGTAGTTTTTCTGTGATCTTTGCTAAAGGCAGTTTCCATAACTAAAATAATTTAAAATAAGATTTGAATTGTAGAGTATAAGGTGAAAAACGAGGTGATATTCTCTTGGTAGGTTCTCACATGGAGAAAACAGGCTTACTTTGTTTTTTTTTGTTTGTTTTTTTGGTTGATACGAACGAATAGGGATGTGGAGAGGTTTTGCTGGGTTTGAAGCTCTTGCAGATTAACTTTTTTTTTCCTTGCTAGTTTTCCTACCTTGGCCCTGACCCTGTCCATAAGCTTCTCACACTAGTGGTGGATGATGGCATTCAGCCTCCTGTGGAACTCAGCTGTAAGGAGAGGAACATTCTAGCTGCCACTTTCATTCGCTCCCTCCATAAGAACATAGGTGAGACTGGACAGGGGTGCTGATAGGACAGATCACGACTCCAGCCACCTGGGAAGTTGGGGCTGGAGAGGTGGGACTTGTGATGAGGCTGCGATCTTGATGGATCTTGCTGCTCCTCAGGAGGCTCTGAGACTTTTCAAGACAAAGTGAACTTTTTCCAGCGAGAGCTTCGGCAGGTCCATGTGAAAAGACCACATTCCAAAGTCACCCTGAAGGTCAGCAGACACGCCTTGTTGGAATCGGTGCGTAAAGTTTTATCTCTGTAAGCAGATGCCAAAGTTTTCCAACTATGAACCTCTTTTTTGGGGAGGGGGTTTGGAGTCTCACTCTGTTGCCTAGGCTGGAGTGCACTGGCATGCTCACAGCCATCATAGCTTCGAACTGCTGGGCTCAGGTGATCCATCCACCTCAGCCTTCTAGGTAGTTGGAATCACAGGTGCACGCCACCACGTCCAGCTAATTTTTTGATTTATTGTAGAGACAAGGTCTCGCCATAATGCCCAGGCTGATCTTGAACCCGTGGGCTCAGGCAATCCTCTGGCCTCCACCTCCCAAAGTACTGGGATTATATGCGTGAGCCACTGCACCCAGCATTATGAACCTCTTTAGTACTTGACTGTGTTCTGCAGGTTATTGTTTTTATGAGACCTAAATTTCTCTCTTTAAATACATTTGTAAAAGACTGTTCTTCTATTTCATTATACTAACTTTGGAGCAGAGTTTTTGGAGGTGTGTTTTTAAGGGGAGAGACTAGTTGACACTTTGGCCTCCAGATCCACTGAAGCTGTTCCTGAGCAGTCTCGTGGAACTCCCATATAGGGCAGATGTAAGTAGTGGTTTCAGAAGGATGGTCTTGTTCTTAAGGAATCCCTGGAATAGAAGAGCTCTTGTTGGAGTAAAAGGAAATGATTTTTGTTGTCATTTTGGTCTGATGAAAAAGGAACACCTGATGTGTGTCTGACTCTACTGCACAGACACTGGCATAGTTTTTACATTCCCCAAGAATGAGGCAGCCTGGTCCTTGTCCAGAAAGTGTTTGTGATGGTTGGCTCTTTGAGGCACAACTGGAAACCCCTTTTCTCATCCACCTTCTCCGGGTGGCATGCCTCTCTCTCTGAACCCAGCCTTGTGGATAAAAATGTCTAGTAAATAGATTGTACTTTGCTGAAAACCAGGACTCCTTGGTTCTCTTGCTTACAGCTTCCTGACTCAAGTCATTTTTACTTTTTTAGGCAAGAATTTTTTTATTAATAAAATGAAGGTGAAAAACAAAAGAACAGCTTCAACTTTTTAACAAGTTGGTGCAAAGGCAAGAGAGATTATATTTTAAAACTTTAAATTTCTTTGGAGAGATGTGCATTTTAGCTATAAGGTAGTATGATTCAAGCTTGTTTATGAGTGATTTATCTCCTCCAGGTAGTGGTAGTTAGTTCAGCAAAAAGTGACATGCTCTTGTTTTTTTTGTCTGTAACAGCTGAGGGATGCCAGCCTATGTTTTGACAGTTTTTCTTCCTTTCACTTCTTTTCAGTCTCTGAAAGCCACTCGGAATTTCTCCATTTCAGATTGGAGCAAGAACTTTGAGGTGGTTTTCCAGGATGAAGAAGGTCAGTTCTAAAATTTTATATTCATCTTTTTATATTCATCCCTACCCTTTCTCTAGCTTTCCCTCCACAGAAAACCAAAACCAATCCCCTACCTTCTACCACCCCCAAAAATCCAAGCTTCTTTTTCCAAGTGAGAAAGGAACCATTAGCCAAGAGAAAGGGTGGTGTTTACTGGCAGATGGTGTGGAGGAGTGGGAGAACAGGCCTTCAGAGACCTGAGGAAGAGCTCTGAGAGTCTGAACCTGGTTACTGTGAGAGAAACGTCCATTTCCTGGGACCTCTGATGTCCTGTGTTTCCATGTTAGGGGACATTACCCTACCTAATCCTACAGAGAGGGGTGGGACTAAAAACAAAAAAAGACCACAGCTCAGGTGACTTGCAGTGGAGTATATTAGGGTATTAGCATCGAGAGAAAGTGGAAAATGTAAAATGATGACTCAATGAATGGAAGTGATAAGAGGAAGTAGGCCAAGCATTATTTATTTTTGTTATGCTTTTCAGCTCTGGACTGGGGAGGGCCTCGCCGGGAATGGTTTGAGCTCATCTGCAAAGCACTCTTTGATACCACCAATCAGCTCTTCACTCGGTTCAGTGACAACAACCAAGCATTAGTGAGTCTGTGGCATCCCCGTGAGTGGGTGGGTGGGAAATGTGGATTGTGTTGTGATGAACAGACTAAGAAGGGTTTGAAATTATGAAATTATCCTGGGAGTCTGCCTACTTGTGTCCTCTTCTTACTTTTGCTACTTAAAATGTGAGGCAATCAGATTGTCTCCCTCCTCTTTGCCATCATTATTTCATCAGTAAAGTAAGAGAGACTGCAGGGAGATGAATATTTGACTAAAAAGCATTATAGTGCAGTGGTTACTCATTGTTATTTTAACAATAAAGCCACTTTCTCAAAACATACCTGAAGCAAATGATTTCTGAACTAGATCTTTGACTAGATAGCGGTGTTGGGGTAGAGAAGTGGACTTTATTTAGTTGAATGAAGTTCTGGTTTAAGGAAAAGGTATTGCAACATCTACTGATGAACTTCCATGCTCATCCAGTGACCACAAGCTTAATATGTTTCTTAACTTCATTTAAATCTGTATTTGCCCTTTATCCTCCAGTCACTTTGAATTACTCGGTTGTGACTACCAAAAAATTCGTGTCATTTGGATGGGCTCTGTGATCCTCACACCGAAATTCTTGCTTCCTTGTCAAGAAGTTGGGGAGGGAGGGTCTTCCCAAGACTAGGCTTGAAGAAAAATGGCCCAGGGTCTTTTGATGTCTTCCTTGGACAGGTGCATCCCAATCCTAATCGCCCTGCTCATCTACGCCTGAAGATGTATGAGTTTGCAGGGAGGCTCGTGGGCAAATGTCTCTATGAGTCTTCTTTAGGAGGAGGCTACAAGCAGTTGGTCCGAGCTCGCTTCACTCGTTCTTTCCTGGCCCAAATCATAGGACTACGGATGCATTACAAGGTAACATCTTAGGTGTGCATTTTCTACTGAGGACTTCTGGCCATTACTCAGGATTCTCTCCACCTGAGCTTATTACTCTTCAGGTTGAAGGGGTAAATAGTTCTAAGCTGTTACAAATTTTATTTCTGGGCAGGAGTAATTCATGTTTTGTTCTGTGTCTTTCTGTCTCCTCAGTACTTTGAAACAGATGACCCAGAATTCTATAAATCTAAAGTTTGTTTTATCCTCAACAATGACATGAGTGAGATGGAATTGGTCTTTGCAGAAGAGAAATATAACAAATCAGGTCAATTGGAAAAGGTGAGAAAGAGGACTACAGCCTTGGGTCCCGTGCTCTCCAGCTTCTTTAGAGCAACCCTAAGAGAATGTTCCACAATGAAATGTTCTATATTTGTGTTGTCTGTTAAGCACACAAAATATGTCTAGTGTGACCAAAAAATTGAATTTCTCATTTTATTTTATTTTAATTAATGTACATTTAAATAACTGCTCTTGGCTAGCCGCTGCCATATTGGACAGCACAGCTTTAGAGCTTGGAGCCCATGCTTCGTGATCTTAGCCGATGGAGTGGAACAAAGACACGTGTGCCCACCTAGGCTATCTATTCCTGCTTTCCAGTGGAGAAGAGCTGAGTGATAGTGCGGTGTCACTATCCTGGTGGATTTGGAAGAGGTGGCTATATCTCTGTCAACATTAGCAATGGTGATGTGGTATATATGACTCCTACTGTAATTTAAACTTTTTATTAGAAGATTATTGGCCAGAGGTTTTTTTGATGAAAATGTGCTTCTGGCCAGGCACGGTGGCTCAAGCCTGTAATCTCAGCACTTTGGGAGACCGAGGCTAGAGGATTGCCTAAGCTCAGGGGTTCGAGACCAGCCTGGGCAGCTTGGTGAGACCTCGTCTCTACAATAAATCAAAATATAAGCCAGACATGGTAGCACATACCTGTAGTTCTAGCTACTTGGAAGGCTGAGGCAGAAGGATCGCCTGAGCCCAACAGGTGGAGGCTGAAGTGGCTGTGAGCAGGGAGATGAATATTTGACTAAAAAACATTATAGTGCAGTGGTTACTCATTTTCTGGGTGACAGCGTGAGACTCCAACTCAAAAAAAAAAAAAAAAGAAAATGTGCTTCTGTTTATATTGTGGGGTTACAGTTTTAAATGATACATGATGATGCTGAAGTTGCAGTCATATATAATTAAATGTAGAATAGCAATGATTGAGAAATTGTGACCTCTGGTACCACTCTACTGATAATCAGATACCCTTTCTGAAAATTGTGGGAATCCCAGCTGTCTGCTTTTGTGCAGGAGTCAGATCCTGCCTTCCCAGCCTAACATAGCAAGGCAGCTGGTCAATAGAATACTCAGAATCCTCAGGCCTAAGGGAGTGTTCATTTTAATTGGGTTTAATGTGAATACTAAAACTTAATAATTTATTTCTTAGGCTGTTAGATAGAAATGCTTACATAAAATAAAGGTTCAGAATTGCACATAATAACAAAAAAAATTATACATTTTTAGATTTCTTGAGAATCCCTGCTGTGCAGAAACATGCAGTTCCTACCATGCTGTTGTCAAGGCCTTAAAATCCGATCTTGTAATTTCATTCATCTATTGAGACAACCTTGGTGTGAAACAGTTTTTCTAGGGTAGTAGTTTTAAACAGTGCTTCAAGGCTCCCTCAAAATTCTGTTAGGAATTGTTGATTGGGGCATGCCAATTCTATCTGAGACTCACGCAGCTTGTTCGACTTTTTCTTTGTAGATAGGAAAACAAGGGCCCACGTAGCTAAGTGGCTGAAGGTCTGTAGCAAGTTAGCATCGGGGCTGAGATTAGAACCTAGGCTCTCCAAGTTTAAGCTGTGCCTTTCTGTTGATTCACATTAGAGATAGAAGAATGTGTGGGAATAGCTGTTCCCATCTTAGAGTTTCTGAGACTTAAAAAAAAACTTCTTTGCATTTACTCTCATTTGTTCAGAGAAGAGGTCAGTAGTGGCTTAATTTTGGATCGTAGATTAAAATATTACTAACAAGGAATGATAGCATCTTCCTGTTGTGTCACTACTACTTGACCAGGTCAGAGAAGACCTCACCCAGGCACCCATGTCAGAAATAGTGACTGGCAGAATACAGTTCTAGTGGTGGGAACCCTGAAGTTTAGTAACTAAGTAAAACCAAGTGTGAAGTTTAGTAACTAAGTAAAACCAACTAAGTAAAACCAACCAATTCACAACCTCTTTTTGTCTTTTGCTTCCTATTTCAGGTTGTAGAACTCATGACAGGTGGAGCTCAAACCCCAGTCACCAATGCAAATAAAATATTCTATTTAAATTTGTTGGCCCAATATCGGCTGGCCAGTCAAGTGAAGGAGGAGGTGGAACATTTCCTGAAAGGTGGGATCCCGTCCATTCTTGGCAGTGAGGTTAAAATACCTATACCACAATTTGGAAATGGCTTTAACTTGACTATTCTGTTTCAGGCCTGAATGAGTTAGTCCCAGAGAACCTTCTGGCTATTTTTGATGAGAATGAGCTTGAGGTAAGTGCTTATGGTTCAGACTTGTACTCATGACTTGGGTTTTGGCATACTCGCAGGAGCACCTCTAGGAGATGCAGTACAAAAGCTCTTTGTGGAAGAGTTGCTTTCACTTTTGTTACTCTCCCATTCACTAACCCTTTCTTCAGCTTCTCAAAAAATTAGAATGTGAAAATTAGGAAGGAATGAATCATTAATTATTTATAAAGAGTGATAATACTCATTTATTCTTCAAATATGATTGATACTGGTTGAGTAGTAAAGAATGCTAGCATCGTGTATAGTCTTCATAAAATCCTATGACATTCAAGGGAATATTCTAATTTATTTGGGCAGGTATATATTAAGTACTTCCTGTATGCCACATATTTGGAGGTGCTGGAGAGACAGCAGTGAGTGAGACTGTCCAGACCTTATGGCTGCATTCTAGTGAGGGAGACAAACCAAAAGATGGGATCGTATTTCAAAGTATTAGACCATAACACCATAGTGGATATATTTTTACATATATAGTAAATATAGTTTTATTTCAGATGCTGTAACAACCAAAAAATGGCATAAAATGGTAAATGCCATTTTATAATTAGCATAATTGGAGTCCCCATCAGGTGTGGGCAGACAAAACTAGTTTGTCTTTACTTGGTCCTCACAGATGATATAGCTATACAGGATGATACAGTGTAGTTTATTAGTTTTAACTTCCCGAAGCTTTTATGAGGAGTGTGTTTTTGCAAATACTTTCCTTTAGGGAGGAAGTTCTTTAAAAACTGAAGAAAAGAGACTGAGGTGGGAGGATTGCTTCAGCCCAGGAATTTGAGACCAGCTCGCTCAACATAGCCAGACCCCCCATGTCTACAAAAAATTTAAAAATTAGCTGGGCGTGCATGCCTGTAGTCCCAGCTACCCAAGAGGTTGAAGTGGGAGGATCCCTTGAGGCCAAGAGTTCAAGGCTGCAGTGAGCTGTGATTGTACCACTGCATCCAGCCTGGGTGAGAGTGCGACCCTTAAAAAAAGGGGGGGGAGGAAAAAAGCAGCTTCAGGTGGTCTTGCCCAATTCTTATTATGAACTGGCTGCAAGAACAAGAATCAGAATCTTCTGTAATTTTCATCACATTCTGTACCTCCAATATGAAAAACAAAATGAACTCTCCATGTCTCAGTCTAAAGTTTCTGATAGACCTATCACCTAGTGCTCTTAATTTGGGAGCTGAGGGAGTAGCTCCTGGTAAGTTTTGTTTTGTCATTAAGCAAAGCATTTGTAAGTTTATGAAAGTGAGAAGGAAGGGCACAGTCTCTTACAGTTGTTCTACCATCCTGCTTAGTTCTCCACAAGCTTAGAAGTTGTTTTCAAGTTTTTCAATCTCAACTGGGCTTTTCAATCTCCTGTTGGGGATTGGTCATTCTCGATGGCTCTTGAGTGAGTACTTGCAGCCTTTTAAGTAACATGCTGCGTCCTGAACCAAACTGGGACTTAGCAAGATGTTGAGGGTTCTTAGGCCGGCCATTCATCTGCTCACCTTTTGGCACACTTTTGAATGTGTCTGAGCAAGTACAGGCGGGGCTGAAGGGAAGGTAGTTGAAGCTCAGCCCACAAAGCAGGACGGATCCTAGGAAGAAGGAAGGGCCATCTGGTAACTCCACAGATGGGGCTATAGATGGTTATCGGAGGGAATTGCTGGCCTTTTCTCCCTGATATTCCCAGGTCAAGTTCAGAGCACACAATCAGGAAGCACTTGTTTTTTCTTTGTTTCAATTGGGAATAATCTATAGCAGCAATTGTCAATTAGGGTGCTCATCAGAAACACCCAGGAAGCATTTTCAAATGCCACAAGCTCATAACCTGTTCCAAGAGAATTTGATTCAGTAGGTCTGAGGTTGAGCCACAGATATCTTATATTTTTTTAGAAGCTGTACGGTTTTCACCATACTGGTTAGCAACCATTGGTCTGCTGTACGGTTCTCATTTTCCTAAAGCAGTATTCTGGCATCATGACCCCACCTTCAGTCTTCTTCCTGGTGTTTTGTTATTCTGCATTTTACATGTTCAACATGGGTAATTTTGACCTTAATGGTAGGCCTTTGTCCCTCTGATCATCATGGTAACACCTCAATGTTTTTCTCCAGCTGCTGATGTGTGGGACTGGAGACATCAGTGTGTCTGACTTCAAAGCCCATGCAGTAGTTGTTGGTGGCTCGTGGCATTTCAGAGAAAAGGTAAGTGGGCTGAACTACTTTGGGTTGGATTTGTAGCAGATTATAAGGAAAGAAGAAAAAAGTAGAGGACTCAAAGAAGTTGACATGTTATCTGGGAAGAAATGATATGTGTGGAAAAGACAAGTGGAAGGGAGCCTGAGGCCCAAGGGCTGCGTGCTGACTGCCCCAGGCATTGCCAAGTGGAAGTGCAAAGCAGCACCAAGCAGTTAGTGGCTACCCTGCTGATCTTGTGACAATGTCCATTCCTGGAGAGGTCGATTTTATTCCTACCTGTGCTCTCCAAAATCTGGGACTGGGATGTAGCCTCTTAGGTTCCTTCTCCCAGGGATCAAACCCTAGGCTATATGTCTGTGATCCTAGCCTGTGTTCTCCCACCAGGTCATGAGGTGGTTTTGGACGGTGGTTTCCAGTCTGACCCAGGAGGAGTTGGCTCGGCTGCTCCAGTTCACAACAGGCTCCTCTCAGCTCCCGCCTGGAGGCTTTGCCGCCCTCTGTCCCTCCTTTCAGATTATTGCCGCTCCGACCCATAGCACGCTGCCTACAGCACACACGTGGTAGGTGTCTGACTGCCTGACGGATGCCCATGCTCCTCGTGGTGTGAGCTAATCACGTCTCTGCTTGCCCTTACAGTTTTAACCAGCTGTGCCTCCCCACATATGACTCCTATGAAGAAGTGCACAGGATGCTGCAGCTGGCCATCAGCGAGGGCTGCGAGGGCTTTGGCATGCTCTGACCACTCTCCTGTGTCCACGCGTCTCCCATGCTCTCTGGAGCTTCTGGGTGCATGTTGACAGACATCATAACCACTGACCCTGACACATAGCCATCAGCTGGAAGATGCCGCATGCTCCCTGTGTCTGGAGTATTCATCCTCACCTCACCTTCTCCCTGCCCATGTCCAGCACAGGCCACTTGGGCATGGTACGTCAGCTGAGCTCTTTGCTTGGTCAGAGAAGAGGACCGTGCTGCTGTCATTTCATTTGGTCCTTTGAAGATGTGCGTAGCTGAGGGAGGTGACCGAGTCCAGTTCTGATGGAAGGGGGATGTGTGGAGAGCCTTACGCCCGCACTTTGCCCCAACTCCCCCTGCTCATGCTCCATGGAGGTACCCTCTTTGGCCCTCACTGCCTGAACAGACTGGCCCTGAGTCCTGCCCTGGGTGGGGTGATTGCCTCTTCTCATCAGGAACCAGGGGAGACATGCATGGGAGGTGGCTCACACGAGCCACGGTGGCAGGCACAGACCGTGGACCGGACTGCCTCTAGTGAGGACTCATAGTGCACTGTGTTAGCACAGTGTGGTGTCAGAACTGGAAAAGGCACTTTCTCTTCAGGCGTTTCTGTAAATGATTATTAATCCATAGAGAAGAACACTGTAAGCTTTTTCTTGAGTTCCAGTCAGTGAGAAAAGCACATAGACCCAGAAGGTGAATAGGAGCTGGGCTCTGCCTCCAGTGCTCAGTGCAGTTCTCCTTTATGGTCCGTGGTACATGCCTAGGTGCGTGGCTGGCCTGAAGACTACTGATGCCTTACCCTGTTTGTTGTTTGCACGGAGGTGTGGCTGGGTCGGGCCGCTGTCCTCCAAGTTAGGTAGTCTCCTAAAAGCTGGGGATTCTTTAGAATTCTGCTGAAGAATATTTTGTAGCAAAGGATTGGATCAGGGAGAACAGCATGCCAGCTTCCCTGCTTCTCTCTGTGCTTGGTGCTCTCTGGCAACACTGAGACAAGGGAACAGGAACAGGAGTTTAAGTGCTTATCACTGGCTCTTGGGGTCAGGACCCTGGGACAGACGTGGAGGAGGTATGTTAGTAAACATCTAGCCAATCTTGGTACCTTCTTTTGCCTCATCAGTTACCAGAAATGAGGGAGGAAGCCGTATTAGGCTCACTGTTGAGTGGAGATTGAAGGGTACCTGCCGCTGCCTTTTGGAAGGTGACACCTTTTTCATTACTGTCTGATTGAAAACTTTTCAGGACTCAGCATCTCATCAACTTCCCAGATTTGTTTTTAAGCAGGCTTTGCTGAAAGCTACCATTCCCCGTGGGCACTCACCTTGAGACTACTACAAGCCATTGTTATTGCCAAAACCAGCAAGTGCAGAGTCCTGAGACAAGCAGGACTTGGTAACGCCATGGCCCCTGGAAGCATGTCTGAGCCCTCCTGTTCCCAGGGCTGTGAGCAACATGCCCTCCTGAGCTGCTGCAACACCTGCCTGACTCACTCCTTGCGGTCGTCATTTGTCCTTTCTTGGCATGGCTGCTGACCTCACTTGTTTTGGGGTCCGGGGCCCCAGCATCAGGTCCTCTCCACCCCAGATCCTCCATGCCATGTGGTCACTGCTCTCCTCAGGGACAAGGACAAGGTGCTGCTGCTCACCGACATTTTTTTCCCGTTGGATACGTACAGGAAAGTTTAGTCGTCACCCTGGAAACTTGATCCTGCCCCTGGGCCCCGCCAGCAGGGGCACGTGGGCCGATTCTGCTGTTTTTGGCAGATGTTCCCCTCCTGGATTTGGAATCTTCCCTCCAGAGATGGAGGCTGGAGGCTGAGTTGCTTGTCCTGGCTAGATCTGTCATTTCCAGCTCTGGCCACAGTACTTTTTTAGAGCATCCTAGGCACCATCGCAGCCTGGCTGGGGCAGCTATATCCCTGTGGTGGTCCTTAGGAACCAGCGTCTTTTCAGCAGAGCCCTTTGGTATGGTTATGATTTTCTGTTCTCCAGTTTACTCTCCTGAGTCTCTTCAGAAGTGTCTTTACCCTTTCTGGCCTTTTCTTTTCCCTTTTTTTTCTAATCCTGCTTTGATACTCGCCATTTGGGGAGAAGGTACAATATGTGGAAGAGAAGGGACAGTGTGCTATTTCTTGGGCACTTTTCTATTTGTGTTTTATTTTGGCCAGTTCTTTAGTTTATGCCTTTGTGGCCCAGGTACTCGGGACTAGCTCCCTTTCTGGCCTTTTAGTGGCTTTGGACCAGGCATCAAGTGAACACCTAGGAGAGTGTCGGCGTGTTTCTGGAAATTTGGCGGATACCACGCCCTGCTGCAAACTCGTCCTGCCAGGTGAAAGGCCAGGCAGTTGCAGCTGGTGCTGTAAATATTTTGTACAGTAAATAAATACATGTTTAAAGAACTGAGATGCATGCAGATGCTTTCAGTGGAGACTCATGGCTTCAGCTGAGGGCAGGGAAGGAAACAATTTAGACATGTTTCTGCTTTTCTCCCGTCGTTCCTCCTGAAGTGGGACTCAGGGTGGATTGAGTCCTGAGACCTGGCCTGTCCCGCCCTTGCCCTCTCACCCTTCCCTGGTTGCTGTCCTTGGTGCCAGGCAGGGCCAGTGTGGTCTTTCTCCAGAGAACCATGGGGGTGGTGGGGACAAGTGTGTGTGCTCAGCAACCAAGGAAGAAACCGGTCGGGTAATAGCAGAAGCTCTCTCTTCTCATCAGTTTTTAGACACTAATTTGTTACTGTTTTACAACCTAAGAAGTTCAGTGTAGAAAATTTGGAAAGAAGAAAAAGTATAAGGGAAACAGGTTGGTTGCTATCCAGGGATAACCACTGTTACCACTTGGATGTAATACCTCCTGAGTTTCATACCGTCACACATTTATCTCCTAACATCCCTTCTACCTGCCCGCAAGGGCTTTGGGAGTGGCAAACAAAAATGCTGCTCCTAAAAAGTTTACGGGTGGCAGATGGTACCAGTTCTCTTCCTATCAAGGGTAAGCATGCAGAGAGAAAGCCAGGCCTCTGATTTGGGCCTAGAAGGAAAAGTATTAGGAAACCTGACTTTCTTAGGGGAAGTACTCATGGTGCTATGTGTATTGGTTCCCAGGCTGGCAAATCAAAGCAAAATCCCCTCTGGAATTAAAAAAAATAATTATGGATTTTTGTCCCTACCCCTAGACTCAGTGAATTAGAATCTTAGCTTGAAAACTTTTTTCAATTGCACTCATTCATTCTATTCCTACCTCACCAAGCTCTTGAGTAACATGAGAGGTCTTAAAAAATGAAACAATTCTGTCCTTCTAACTACATTTTTAGGTTATTTATATTTCTGCATCTTTTAAATTGCTGCTCTTGTGGCTTTTAGTAGGTTACTATAGACATTGATCAAGGAGTGATTTCAGCCCACCATGACGCTATTCTTATTTATTTATTTATTTATTTAGTTGGATCTCACTACAGGCCCATACTACCATGCCCGGCTAATTTTATTTTTTTTTATTTTTTGGTGAGTCGTGGTCTTGCCATATTGCCCAGGCTGGTCTTAAACTCCTGGGCTCAAACAGTCTTCTCACCTCAGCCTCCCAAAGTGCTGGGATTACAAGCGTGGGTCACCATACCCAGCCTTTTTAAAAATTATTATTATTTTGAATAGAGACAGGCTCTCACTATGTTGTCCAGGCTGGTTTTGAGCTCCTGGGCTCAAGCAATCCTCCTGACTTAGCTTCCCAAAGTGCTGAAATTACAGGCATGAAGCACCATGCCCAGCCATGAGGTCATTCTTAAGACTCAAGAAGCTGGTCAGATTGTTTTTGACCTGTTCTGTTTCTGACCTGGGCTGGTTCACCCCTCAGGCAACCTGGTGGTCCCCCCATTCCCTCAAGGTCACCCTGTTGATGCCAAGTTTATTGTGGACATCTGATTGGCATAGCATACAGCCCAGAACTCCTGGGCTCAAGCGATCCTCTTGCCTCAGCCTCCCAAGTATCTGGGACAACAGATACTTGCCACCATGCCTGACATGTTCTTGAATTAACACACTAAATACTAGCTTTGGCCTCTTGTACACCATTACCTCTGAGACCTTGCAGATAGAGCTCAAGCCTCTGACCAGCCACACTTCTCTTAGGACCCCAGTAGAGATTCTGCAGCAAGTGGCTTGAAACTTATGGGCTCCTTCCATCTACTTTGGTTTCACTTAGACCTTGAAGACCAGTTCCAGATATCCTGTAACACTTTTATTTAAAAATGAATAATTCCTTTTTTCTTTTATTTTGAGAGGTATGTACAAAAAGATATAGAAGTATGTACAATTTATTTTTAAAATTTAATTAATTTTTTTTTAGTTGGGGTCTCACTTGTCACCCAGGCTGGAGTTCACAAACACAGCTCACTGCAGCCCTGACATCCTGGGCTCAGGCCGTCCTTCTGCTACTAGCCTCCCTAGTAGCTGGGACTATAGGTGGTGTGCCACCATGCTGGCTAATTTTTTTTATTCTTTGTAGAGATGAGGTCTTGCAATGTTGCTGAGGTTGGTCTCGAACTACACTCTATTTTACATAAGGCAGTTGAGGCACAGAGAGGATAAGTAACTACCAGGGTTCCGTGGTGAGTAAGGGGTAGAGCTATATTTGAACAGAAGTCTGCTTCATCTCAAAGCCCAAGCTCCACATTTCTGGTTTGTCTCTTGCTGATTAGTTTAAACTAAGAAACAGCCCAGGCACTGGGCCACCATGCTTACTGACTCTACCTCACGTTCTCCTGATGATGTTGTGTGTGACAGATGAACACTTTATACCTTGGTTTACTTATCAGTCACTTGGGTACTTGGGATTTATGAAGAGAAGACCCTACTCATCCAGGGTAGAGATTTTTTTTTTTATTATTATATTCTTTTTTTTTTAGTTGGAGTCTCACTCTGTCACCCAGACTGGAGTGCAGTGGCCGCTCCCGGCCACCGCAGCCTTGACCTGCTGGGCTCCGGTGATCCTCCCGCCTCAGCCTTCCAAGTAACTGGAACTACAGGCTCGCGCTACCATGCCCGGCTAATTTTTTTTTTTTTTTTTATTGTAGAGATGAGGTCTCTCCAAGTTGCCCAGGCGGGTCTCGAACCCGTGGGCTCAGGCAATCCACTCACCTCAGCCTCCCAAGGTGCGGAATTACAGGCTGAGCCACCGAGCCCGGCTGAGAGATTTTAAGAGATACAACTATTAGTAGTGATGTCAGAATCTTTTGCATGTAGCAAGTTCCATAGTGCCAAGGAATTAGTAAAGTAGCTTCCAAGTTTAACTGGATTCTACATAAAGAATACAAGACACCCTTGAGGATATAACTGAGGGAAAAAAATCCGGAAGTTTTAATACCCCCACTTTGGTGGAAAATCCACAGGTTGCATGCAAATGAAATAATTAGAATGAAGTCAGACACACTACACAATACCCTGATGTTTGTCTCTGGTAACTAAGTCTGCAGAAAAATACTTACTTGAAGGAATCTTTTGTCTCAAAACTCTGCTTGCATGAAACACTGCACCATTTGGCAAAGGCCAAAATCCTGGTGGACATCTCACTAGGAAATAATGTTTTCAAGAATGCTAGAGTTGAAGGAGACACACCCCCCC